GCCCACATTTTAAGGTCGTCTGAGGTTTTACTCTATTAACGTAAAAATATAAAATTAACAATAGTAAAAAAATGCAAACAGCATTTTTCTTTAGGGTCGATACCATTACACGTTATTACTGTATCCAGATACAGTCTTTGAGTCTTTATACTTTTCAGTGTGTCATTGTTTTTGTTAGCCCTAACTACTGCAGTTTATTATATTAGTGAGATTAAAGGAGCAGTTTTGTGTTGGTTGCAGGTTTGGAGACAGTTCGCTGCAGGAACGAGTGAATCAGCAGAGCTGTGAACGTCTCAAAGCTTATTGTAACAGGCTGAGAGAAAAACTTCCTCACATGGGTGAGACGGATGTTTCTGACAAACTCTGAAATCAAACAGAAGTTTTCAGTACAGTTCAAAATAAATGAATATTCCCTTTAATGATAATAAGTTTGATATGATGATGGTGGTGATAGTACTTTTTGCGGTAAATTAGTAACTAGCTGAACTAAAGCAGCCTTTTCTCTCCCTCAGCTGGTATCCAGTCACTATTAGACCTGCTGACGTCTCTTGATCGCAGCATGGAGGCAAAGAAGAGGAAAAACGTGGAAGTTTTATGGATCACAGCTTCAGTAAGTCCTCCTGCTTTTTAAGGCATGATACCAGCTAACAGTGTCGGCTCAGTTTCCATAAGGGGGCAGAAAATGCTGGATGATTAAACTGGGCTTAACTCTGAGGCTCGACTGACTAAAAACAAGATTAAGATATATAAGATTTTTAATCAAGAAATTAATCTCTTGTCCTGGAAATTGTCTTCCATTACTAATAATGTTCTATCAGCTAAGCTCACTTTTTTTTTTCCTGCTGAATTTATTAAAATAGCTGGACTCACTATGTGTTTAAAAAAAAAAAGAAATATTATTATTGACAAAAAAGGTTAAAAAAAAACAATCCACTGGATTTTCAAGTTTGAAGATGTTTCGCTTCCCATCCAGGAAGCTTTTTTTTAATTCAAAATGTCAGGAAAAGCGTTGAGATCGAAGTTTTATACAGTAGCCCAACAAAGCCTTGTTTTTGTTTTAAAACATGCAAAATGAAACGGACGAACGGGTTCACCTCTTTGGAATGGGGGTCGTTTGGCTTCTTCTGTTACCCTACAATGCCCCGTACCTAAGTGTCTGAAAGGGGGGGTTGTTGAAGAGGATTATTGGCCTGCTGAACAGGTGAGGTTTGCTCTGCTGTACAGGGGCTGCGATGACAGCAGGCAGGAATAAACTGTATAAAGCCTTGAACTCAACACTATTCCTGACATTTTGAATTGAAAAAGCTTCCTGGATGGGAAGAAAAATGTCTGCAAACTTGGAAACAAAGTCCAGTGGAATTTTTTTTTTTTTTTTTTTTTTTTTTTTTTTTTAACTGTTTTTGGAATGACTATGACCTGGATGACTGAGAATCTTCACCAGGATATTGACAAAGAGATGAGAAAATCCATCATATAACCAGGGTTGCCCTTGAATTTTGAATTTGATGCCAGAAAAAGTAATCAATGCCATTTTTGTAAAATTTGTTTTTATAAAGGAAAGATTTTTTCTGTTTAATAGCATAAAAAATACAAAATGACAAACTTCAGTTTTCTTTTTGTATTTAGGTCTCTGGAGGACCAAAACAGGCTGTTAATTAAAATTAAAGCTTGGCAGTATCTAAAAATGCTTACATTTTTCTTAAGATAGATGAAAAATATGTATAAAACACGCAGTTAAGTGAATACGTTTGATATTTCTAACAATTACTTTGTTTAATGGAATTTAGAGTTATTGATAAATTGATTAATCTAAACAGAGTTATGTTATTTATGGACTTTGATTCATTGGTAAATGTCATTTTCTTTCAAATCCAGTTTTCTCTTGTATCAAGAGGATCTTTCCAAAACAAAAAGGGATAAATATATATTTTTGCAATGTGCTGACATGCAAAATACTTACATTACTCTTTCCGTAAAAGTTCAAAAAATATCCACTGGACTTGGTTTTCAAGATTTGAAGACGTTTCGCCACCTCTCCAGGAAGCTTTCTGGAGAGGTGGCGAAATGTCTTTAAATCTTGAAAACCAAGTCCAGTGGATTTTTTTGAACTTTTACGGAATGACTATGACCTGGATGACTGAGATAAACAAAGTGTGTGAAGCATTTATTCTTTCAAATAGATAGTTATAGATGTCACTCCAACATACTGTCAGAATATTTCCCAATTCTTCTAATTGAAGTCAGTGCTAAGTATGATATAACTCTATATGTTATACAATCATCTGGTGGTAGAGGCTTAATGCTGTTAGCACTGATTTCTGTTTGCTCTCAATCTTCACAGTCGACTCAATGAAGTGCATAAAATCACAACAGTCTTCCCCCTCGACTGTATTAATTATTAGCATGACTTTTCTATCCTGCTGCAAACGTTCTGCATGATTCCCTCCACAGTAAAAACTGCGTTGCTCTGGCAGCCGAATAGGCGATAACTTAAGAAGTTTATCGAGTGTTTATATTACAAATAGAAGCACATCAAGTTCCCTCTGCATCCTTGTCACCATTAAACAGTGTAAATAAAACAGGAATGATTAATGTTTCTCCTTTAGCATCCCTCTGTTCTGACACTCTGCTTAAGATTAGACAGTGAGGCCATCTAGTGGACGGTGATAACATTACAGCACTGAAAGTAATGTCCTCTAAAGGTATAGTGGAGGATTTTCGTGATTTTCTAAAAAAAAAAGCCCTCTCCACTTAAAAAAAAAATGCACATGCACAACCCTGTACCCAACCTAAGAGGAAATGTCTATTAAATGCGTGTTAGAGCGTGCAGGAGCCAATTTCTGCTTGTGCATGCTCTTTTTAAAAGTTTTGCATCCCTCATACGAGCTAACTTTCCAATAGAAGTTTTGCAATTTTTCACTATGTCACCACCAGTATGTAAAAATGGGGATGAGCACGTAGGACGGCCTGACACACACATGTCACCAGAGTTACTGACAATTAGGATGACCACTTATTTAGATGATCCACCTGGAAATAGAACACCCTACACTATAGCTTTAAGTAAACATGATCAATTAATTGGAGGGAGTAAATTTGAATCTAATAGATTTAAGTTGAATATTTGTTTACATCCCTGATTGAAATATTCCTTTCCTGGATGATGTATCCCTGTTTCCATTTTGTAGGAACAGGAATTATCTAAGGTTCTATTTGGGCTTAAAAGGACACGGACATTAAAAACACAATCAGGAAGGATGCTTTAAGTACTTAATCTGTTTTAATAAGGATCAAATGGTTTTTGGCATAAAATGTGACGATTTACTTTTAAATAATATCTGTGTGTAACATGCCGGTGCTGGAGATGCATAAAACCTAAAAACTGATGCAGGTTTACCTGCAGATACCTTTTTTTATTCATAGGCTGTTGTTTGTAGGAAACTTTACCTGTGTGTGTTTCCTTGTGTGCAGTTGTGTCGAAAAGTGAACGGCGTGCGGCTGACCAGCTGTAAGAGCGCGAAGGATCGAACGGCGATGTCTGTGACGCTGGAGCAGTGTATGATTCTTAAGGAGCAACACGCGCTCAGTCAGCAGAATTTCAGCTCTGCTCTGGACAGCATGAGGAGGTCTGTTATAAACCACAGCTGTCCTCTTCTTCTCCTTCTCACCTTTTCTTTCTCTGCACCTTTTAACTTGATCCAGCTGAATCTTTCTGGTATTTCCTTAACCTTTGAATTTTTTTCTGTTTTTTTCCTCCTCTCCCTCCTATTTCCCACCTGCACACAAACGCTCCTCCTCCTGTAGGTCCCGTCTGTCCTGGGGGCAGATGCTGGGCTGTTATGCCCACTCAGGGTTCTCTGTCTCTGGGTTGGATCCCACAGAGTGTCCCTCAGGTCTCCAGAGCTCCTGGCTTCAGCTGCTTTTAGCTTCCAGAAGACATTTCTACCCGGTGGCCTTCCTGCTGGTGACCTCTCACCTCCTGGTGCTCTGGCTCATATTCAGCTTGGTGATCCTGCTGGCTAAATACCAGTAAACGACCTCAGACTGGGAGCACTGGAATGCACAGATTAGAAATGTTCTCTCAGGTCTGTCCAAAGCATCTTCTGGACCACAAAAATAAGCCAAAAATAGTTTATTTATTGTTGAGAGGAGGAGGTGCAGCGTGCCTGAACTAAAAGCCATCCCTGGTGACTTTTACTCAGAAACTTCACATAGTTTGATTAATATTTGCAAAAATTAATATTTTATTTTTAATCTATAACCCCTTAAATTATTTATTGCTTCAACAATTGCCAAAGCCCTCTCCTACAAACATCAAATAATAGTTTTTGCTTTTAATTCATCAACAGAGTTGTTTCATTTCTAACAGGTTTGGTGTATTTTTTGAGTTCTCCTGCCACCTAGTGGCCAAATCAGATATTTAATATAATATGCATGGTAATGTTTATGGTTTTTAATTCAAGTTTTTGTTGCTGAAATGATAAAAAAAAAAGCCCTAAATGTACTTTTTGTTAGCTCTTTGTCTGACCCACAAATAAACTGTCAGTTAAAACTGAACGTTAGTCATAAAGTATAAATGTGTTAAAAAAAAAGTTTATTTAAACTTTGTTGGAGAAGTTTCTCATGCTTTATGATATTCCATTTTCCTTTGTGTTGATCCTGAATTAAACTGATGGAAAGAAACAAATGTGTGCAGATATCCCTGATTCAGCTCAGCAAACACTTAAACTGTTAGCTGTAGTCTACAGACCGTCTTAGTTCAGGTCGCTTCATAGGATGATAGACTAATTCAAAGTAAAGTCTCATCCATGCTGGAGCAGGGTTTGTTGTTTATTTGTCGCCTGATTGCTGATCAGATGGTTTCTGTTCTCCTGCACGTGTCCAGGGACGGCTGCAGGACGGAGAACGTCCAGAAGAACATCGGCAGCAGGAAGTTCGCCTTCAGCAGCGTCCAGCTCCTCACCTTCCCCAAACTCTACAGACCTCCAGATGGCAGCTATGGATAGACACACACTCTGTCTCTACGTGTATATAAGTCCAAAGATTGTTTATTTTTTCATGTAACTTTTCTGTGTTTGATGGTTTGCAGATTGTATTTCTGTTTGAATGAGAACTATGTTTGCTGTTGGAATTACAAACGTTTCTGCAATAAATGACTGAAGTGAAGCTAAATGTGCAGCTAGGTTATGATGTTCCATGTCTTCCTTTCCTTCCAGTATCTTACACCCTGCTGTGAGATGCTGGATTCTTTCTGGGGCCTCTTTTCATAACCTGCATCTGGGATCATGCCTGGTTTTTATAGATCTGGGCCTGCATTGCTCTGATGTCCAACAGCTGCTCCTCTGCTGCCATGATCAGAGCGTCTGTGCCGTCTTTCAGCCCGGCCCTCTGATGCCTCCTTCTTTGCTCTAAGTGCATAGTCTGAGGATACTGGATCTGGGGTGGCATTTCTTTTTATTTCAAATCAAATCACATGTATTTGTATAGCCCTTTACAATAGCCAAATGGTACCAAAAGTGCTTTACAACAAAGCCATAAAACAATACATAACACATATAAAACATACAGATACAATTAAAAGTGCTGTAGTGGTGCAGCGCTGCAGGACATTAAAAGCCTTCCAGAGGTGCATAGAAAGGAGCACACAGAAAGATGACATCTAAGAGACAGTTTTATCCTAATCAGAATTATTTAACCAGAAACAAAATCCCATTAAGATTAAAAATCCTCTTTTTCAGGGGAGTCAAATTTACACATTGAACAGAAATACATTTTCATCACATTAAATTTACAGGTTCATAAGAAAAGCATATAGAGTAAAAAAATTACAGATAACAGAAGCTGTCTGACATTCTCTCATTGCATTTAAGCATAAAACATTTTGTTCAATTTCAGTCTCTGTAGAAAAATCCACACAAGCTGTGCAGATAAAGGCTTTCTTCACTTGCTCTGTGCAAAAGGAACAGTGAACAACAGCTGATCATGTTTATGCATTTAGCAGACGCTTTTATTCAAAGCAACTTTCACAGTATACACAATTTTACAGTTATTATCAATATGGCAGTAAGTTCTATTGAGGAAAATCCCTAATCAGAATGAGTGGACAGCAAAGAGAGAGAGAGAGAATAGGAGATGCTCTTTGAAGAGGTGGATTTTAGGAGTTTCCTGAAGATAGAACAGGATGCTGTTCTTGTAGGGTTAATAGCTCATTCCTTTGTAAATAACATCCAGATGTAAGAGGGCAGTAATCCAAGAAGGGCTTTGATGCTGGCTCCTCATGAAGAGGGAAGGCCCTCCGACCCACAGGTCACAGTGATGTCATGGCTCTACGGTTTGTGATAAACCTCAACCAAACATGGTAAAAAAAAACAATTTAAGACACAAAGAAGTAGCATTCATATAAAAAAAAGGAGAAGTGAATTAGTCTGGTCTTAATTAAAATTTCATCTATCAAAGACACCCATAAATGATCCATGACAGACATGGCTGTGTATGTTAGCATCATCACAGCACTGACTACATAGAGCTAAAAATAAAGAACACAGGGCAGTAGTTCTTTATTTCATGTATCAAGATTGATTTGCATGTGTTTGTTAAATCAAAATTTAAACAAGTGCATTTGTTCTCGGATTGAGGAAGCAAAAGAAAAATTTTGCTAAAAAAACAAGATAATTTACATTTAAAATAAATAATAATAAATAAATAATGATAAAAGGCAATTGCATTGCCATATTTCAAGTGCATGTTATATAATCATATTATTTTAAGAGTAAAAATACTCATTCGATTGGCAAACTATGTTATTTACCTATTCAAAATAAAGGTAAATACACTTAATTTAAGATATTTTCACTCATCTCTAGTTTGCTTTTCCACTTTAATTTTTAAATCATTGTTAAGGTACACTTATAGATTTAGAAAATTACATTTATCCAAGGGAATAATCAGTTAAAGTGCATATCATCATACAACACGAATTGAATTTGGATTTTCTACCTGAGAGTATCGCTGCTGCCACCCTCTGGTTAAAAGGGGAACTGCTTGTTCTGGATCAGGTGAAACATGTTCCTATGAGAAGAATAAATCACCTGG